CACTCACGCAAAACAACTCACAAAAACAACTCACGCTGCTACACACGCCGCCGCTGCCCAGTGTAATTAGTGTAGCAACTCCCAGTGTAATTAGTGTAGTTAGCCTGGTGGTCCACCACCCTAGATTGTTATCTGGTAAAGGGGTAGTTACCCCTTTGTGTTGGTATCAATACATGTGTTGCCTCCAAAGAGTACGTCTGCGACTCAGTTGAATTCACTGCACATTTAATAACGGTAATGTCAACAATGATCATGTAAGGTGGCGTCGCTTCAGCTCAGTGCGTTTCAATGCGCTTCCTGGAGGCTTCGTCCTGCCTGGTTCTTTTACCGACGGTTTCAGCTTTTTCTTTTTCGATGGAATCATAATGCTTAAGAGGTTTTTTTTTCCTCCCATCCCCCCCCAAGAATGTTTCAGGTCAAATAATTTTAAAATCCAAATTGACAAAGGCAATTTGATTAATGCATTAAAAAAACCCCTCTTTAATGATGAATTGGTCAAACATCTCATTATCGTGCTGCACTGCACTGATAATAGAGTCTTGAGACTCAATTACTGCTGGGTGAAGGCTTCCTCACATCGTGTCAGGCTATTTGACCATACTTCACCACTCTAGTCGGCACAGGTTGGTGAAGGAGGAGCCTAGGACTCGTTCGGATATCACTCACCGCTGATATAATCCATGGACAGGCATCAAACTCGAGTTGATGAATTTATAGTGTGGTGCGCTAACAACTTGCGCCACTGCTCCATACAGTAGATTTTTTTTTTATACATTCGCATGTATTAAACGATTGTGTTCAACAAGCAAACACTTCACGTGTCAAATCAAACTGGAAGACAGTATAACGACGATCATCCAACTGTCATTTCATGCTTAATTGAATGCTAATGAGCAATTTCATTTGCAATTCTGAAAGAGTAAGATAATGATGCCAAAACTTTTTTCTTTGTCTTTTAAACTCTACAAATGTCATCTAATTGCATCAGAATAATGGCACCAACGAAATTCCTTGCAATTTAGCAATGGGACGATTTGCGTGTATTAGTACCACTCTAACATAACCTTTCAGTATTCTTGGTTCTTTCGGTAAAGTCACGTAGAAGGGAAACAATAAAATAATAAAAATATAAATACAATTCTCACGACGTTTTGACTGCAAGAGAAGCAATCATCATCAGGTGTGAAAACCACAGCAAGAAAATTTGAAAAAAGTGGCGGGTTTTTTTTTACGTTAGCACCACGGAGAGCGATTTGGCAGTTATTCAGATGGACGAGTCCATTTATGTTCGGAAAAGAGGAGGGGGGAGACGAAAATAATGGATGTGGTCTGAAAGCCACCATAAGCGTGAACAATCAATTAAGATCCCAAATGGTTTATCAAATCCTTCCAATGATTGCGAAGCCAGAATCCATCTTCTCGGTTGAAATTGTCTCTGTGTTTGTATATGTGGATAGCCTCATGAAAGAATCTCTCATGGTAGCCAGATGGCTTGCAAATAATCTCTGTCTTGGAGAAGGCAATGTCATGTGAGCCTACTGAATAATAACAGTGATCTGCCACGGCCGAGGTGTTGATCCTACCGTGTTTTAGGTCTGCTTTGTGTTCACGAATGCGGTCCGAGACATGTCGTTTGGTTTCTCCAATGTAACTACTACCACAGAGGCAACTTAGTTTGTAGACGCCAGGGTACTGTATGTCCGGAATCACATCTTTTACAGACGGAACCAGATCACGGATTTTATGTAATGTGTTTAATCGAACCTGGATCTTGTGTTTATTCAAGATTTTGGAGATCTTTTTTGTGATCCCTGCAATGTAGGGTAAAGTGATGGTTTTGAAAGGCTCCTCAAGAGGGTCCTTCTTCATGGTTGGAGTGATAGCTTTGCGGATTGTGTAGTCGGAGTAACCATTAGCCTTAAGAGCTTGGTGTACGTGCTTGAGTTAACTGGCTATGTGTTCCTGGTCGGATATGCATTGGGCTCTATGGTGCAGAGTCTTGATGAGGGAATTCTTCTGGGATGGATGGTGGTGGGAATTCGGTTTCAGGTAAAGATCTGTATGGGTAGCTTTCCTGTATTGTATAAATTAAGCCCCCCCCCCCCCACCCACAGACGGGAATACAAACCCACTCTGAAGCATACCATTAACTGACCTGAAACGATATCGCTAACCCACCCCTAACAATAGGGGTGGAACAATGTACCAAATTCTTAAGCACGCGATACACGCTCTAAATTGTGTGTGCGTGTTTTTTTAGACTGGTACACATTGTATGTAATGGGGCTCACGTCATGTTTGCAGCCACCAGAGGCCCACGACCAGTCGATACAATAACAACAACAACAACATATAATCTATTCTGGAATTTCATTGCAACACTGAATCATGGCAAGTCATTTAACCCCACGTAACACGAAACAACCCTAAGCCCCCTTTTGCAGTCGGAGAGTTTCCACCACAGTCTCCGGGCTCCGCTCAGTTTGGGATTCAAGGCACCACGCCGAGGCAGCTCGCAGTGAAAGGAGGGGGACAGGGTGGCGTTGGGGGGGTAGAAGTGCACCTCTCTCCGGCATACTGATGGCGCGAGTGCAGTCGCGTGGAATGAGCGCTCTGTAATTGAGCTATAACCTCTTGAGCAAGAGGCGAAGGGGGGGGGGGGGCACGGCGCGCTCACGGAACGAGATACCGGGGACCTCAAGTAGTGCCGCAGGAGGGCGGCGCGGGCTTGAGAAGCACCGCCCGCTCAGATAACGCGGCCGTGCTCTGGCATCTAATTGCGAGCAGTCACCCATCTTAATAAAGGCCGTAGGGAGCGGAGGCGGGGGGGGGCACCGGTAGAAAGGTGTTGCAGCTGTGATTCTCAATCCTGGTCTTTTGATGCTCACCTTCCACTATTCTGGCACCCCGGGTCTTTCCCAAAGGGGCCGACATGAGACATGCTCGACTCAATATTCTACTGCACCGACTTTGTACGTACGTCATACAAATTCAATTGCGATATAGGAATAGAGAAACGTCATCGTCATCATCCATGATACATCCACTGCTGGATGAAGGCCTCCTCTTGTGATTCCCTGCGATGTAATGCTCCACCTCCAAGGTTTAAGTATAGGATGTTATCATTGTGCAAAGCCACATTACCTAATATATATTCTCATGAGAGTCACAGTTGTCTCTATGTATTGCATTAAGGCGGCACACAAGGATGGCTCTCATCTCCCATTGGTAGCCGTCGGCCAGTGCTACAATTCCACATTCCCATGGTTGGGGCCAGTGCCTCCATGTGATAACCACAGTGGACTTCCCACAAAGTAGTTTTCATTTTTATCAACACATTTAAAATAAATAGGTGGCATGAACAACAATAATGGGTTTTACCCTTTCTGGCAATAAAACATGTTTCAAAAACAATGCATATATTTTCAGAACATGTTTGTTTACATGTTCACCACACTGGATTCCATGCAAAAGGTATCTATTTGATATTTGGACATCTTCACACCTGTTTAATGGCCAGAAAGGGTAAAAACTCCATTCTTATTTTTCATATTTTGATACTGGCAAAAAGGTCTCATGAATAAGTAGCGTCAACCAACCAGGATTTGTCACTAACGGACTTTTAATTGGTGGATTTATGTCTTGGACCACAGTGTCACCTGGCTGGAGTGTTCCTTGTATCGCGAGCTCCCCCACCTCTCCTCCTGGAGCCCCCTTCCCTCTTCAACGTGTACAGAGCGCATCGGGCGGGATGATTCCGAGGGCGTTGCAAATGGGACCGCGTGACTCAGAAAGTTGCATTGGCAGCCAATTGAACCTTACGACGGTACCCCGGGGGTTCCTTAGTGCAATGTCTGTGATGCATTTTTAGTCTGTTGAGGGTCGGTGATTCGGTAATCGACTCATCTCGACGAGCTGTACACTACGATGCACCGCCACGGTGCGTACGAGCGTTCAGGGTTTCAGCGCAATCGTCCTTACTGCGTTTCGACATCGCGAAGTGCGGCACTGATTTCGGATTGATTGGTACCCCAGTCGCGGAGTTAAGTAACACCCCTGGAAAAAAAAGTGTCCCAGAAATACAATATTTAATTGCCTCGGACATTTTGTATTATTTGGTACCCCGGGGTACCTGCATAAGAATTAATTACTGCATGATGCAAATTTCAATATTGGCCTCATTGCACACGAAGCTCTCCACTCCATGGCTCCCTCCTACCGTTCGCCTTCCAGTGTGAAATCTGCGGTGAGCGGCTAGTCAGGACACGTTGGCCAATCCGCATACCGAATTAAGGATTACTGACGGGATTTTGCTCCCTGATCATATAATTTCCTCTGCAAATGTATCGCGATATAAGAGGCGGTTGATAACTCACCCTTTTATCAAACCGTGTCCATTGTTTACTTTATTTGCAGATTACCATGACGTCGCTCGACATGAGTTGCTCTGCACATTAGTTTATTGTGCTCTGCAGAGTATACACAATGTTTTTGCTGTATTTTAACCTTTTTGCTGACTATAAGTGCCCGCTACTACCTTGGGACTTATTTTCAAGACTTGTTTTTTGGGCAGTAACATGGCCCAACGGAAGCACGTTTTGGAGCTTATTGCAGAGGTTAGCAGTTCAAGGCCACCCTGGTCAATATTGTGCGTCCGCTAACCCTGCAAATGCACGACGTCTGCATCGCAGCGGACGTAAACAAAAACATCCCACGAAGTTATTTGAGAAAAAAAAAAACATGCGGCCAAATTACGGTCCGAAATGTTTTTCTAACTTAAAGAATTACCGAGATGGGAAACGCGTAACAATTGCTGCCCCATATTGTGAAACATTCGCAGGGCCCTCCTGAACAAAAACAATCTTAAAACTCAATTACCCTTTCATAGCGAGACAATGCACTCACAATAATAATGGGGAAAAATAACCACAATTTTGTAATGCGCAACATCAAGCAATAGTTGATGATGATGGAGATGAGTGCTCGGGTTCCTAACTCGCCTGACGTGCGGTCGACGTTGGTGCTGGGTGTGGAGGCCCCGCCCTGGGCCCCCGCCGGACGCGCGGGGCTCCGCTTGGCCGTGACGTTGTGGAAGAGGGGCATGGCCTCGGCCGCCTGGACGTCCCGGGGCCCGCCCGGGCGCCGGCGGCCCCCCGCCATCTCCACCGTGAGGGCCGCCCTCGCCTTGTGCTCCTGCGCGGGCCATGCGTGGCGGTCGGTGACGCGGCACTCGTACGTGCCCTCGTCCTGCTTGCGCACGTTGGTCAGGTGCAGCCGGCTGGAGATGCTGCTGCCGAGAACCCGGACCACCTGCCGCGCCGCGCCGGGCGACATTTCGTCAGGCGTGCTCGTTCATCATGTGCGCGTCAGTGACTTGCCCTCTGACGGTCGTGGGCCACGTGGGACGATGGCTGAGAGTGGCCCCAAGTCGCGCTGAATACGGCACGGCATTGCTAACGCAGAAAGGAGCCGATGGCAGTCGGTGACGGTAAAGGTGCAGTCCCCGAAATTGCTGGCTCACGCCGCTGCTGGCGAAAGGGCCTCCACTAGAGCGAGCTCTAGAGCACCCTTGTGAAGGGTATTTTGGCCTACTCTTCCACGTCTTGGGAGAGTTGGGAGTAACCCACACTCGAACCCATCACACGTGACTTGCCTATCGACTGTAGTGTACCAATTTAAACTGGTGGGTGGACAGATGCAGGGGGCGTTAATAACAATTTTCATTTAAAGTCTCAAGGCTTGCCGACTGTTTCGACTGCCGAGCCGGATGATGGAACGGGCTACCTCTGGGTTGCAAGTCCAGTGTGATAACCATTACAGCGTGGCAGCTCCCTGGTTGATAAATAATGCGATTATAATCACGTGCATTTATTAATCCAAGAAAGCTTCACTGGGTTGTTTGTCAAAGGGTTCCTGCAAGATTGAGTTGTTTGGCCATTTTCCTAATGAATATTTTGCACATGGAAGGAAACTGACGTGCTTCGAGAGGTATAAGTAAAATTATGTATGTCTGTATGTCTGTGTGTTGAACTTCTTTTGCACCGTACGTAACCAACTGTGCTAATCTGTTCTAAAAAAATAGCTTTCAATCTAGATTATTTGAAAGTACGTAGCTCCAGTGGCTTCTTAATATTGGAAGGAAGAATGTTCCAGACCGCCGCAGAAGCGCATCTGAAAGCTAGCTCTCAAAAATCCATACCGATACGCAGAAACTCTTTTGCAGTACTGGCCTCTAGTGGCCACTCCGCAGCCGAGCGGGTTAAAGGTCTTGGACGCTCAATAAAATACCGTGCCATCCACAAAACCGTGATTACGTAGCGCTGGATTACAGTACATGTGACCAAACCACGATCAAAATCACAGCGGGTGCATTGGATCTCATTGGAATTCAGAAACTAATCAAAGCTGAACCAGCTAGGTATAGTTGAACCATCTTTCTGAGATGGCATGAGATCAAAAGCTAAGCAGAGTTGGTATCTCCAGGGCTTTTCGGGTGTTGTAGTCGTAGGACTGCGAGGTGGCGAGGAGATTGCACTATGGCAAAGGGTTCAATCCACACATAGACTCAATGGGTTGAATGTATGGGGTGCCACGGTGGTAGTATGTTTACTACCTTGCCTGGTATACACGAGGTCGTGGGTTCGAACCCGACCCTGACTACGTATATTTTGAATTTGCATGTTCTCCCCATGGTCGCGTGGGTTTTTCTCCGGGTTCTCTGGTTTTTCCACATGGTAAACCACTTCGTTGAGCTATCGTTCGTGGCCAGGTCGCTTCTGAACAGAGCTATGTAGCTCAGTGGGCCTTACCTGGTAAAATAGAATAAATAACTTGTTTAATCGTATCTTTGTATTGAATCTGCCAGTGCAAAGTATTAAGCGTTATCACCTGGCATTCCAGTTTCTTTCCACATGCTAAACACAATAATAGAATTAGCCTATCATTTCAGTACAGGGCACTCCTGAAATTGAGTCTTGAGTATCTTGATATTCAGTGAACCTGTCCTGGATAAAATAAAGGCATGATCATAAATTTGTAGCAGAATTTGGTTTCATAAAGTTCCAGGCAAAATACAAATGGTATCTTTGTCACGAATTCACAATGCTTTACTCTGTCACATGGGCTTACTACAATCCTTCACATTAAGTGAAGAGTATGCACTTTTGATAATGCCTCGTCATTGAAAGACAAGAGTGGAATTCAAATCAATGTGCTGCCAAAATCCGACGAGATGACAAGCTAATTGGCCACCCCCAAATTGAGTAAAATTAAGACACCAATGCAATACGTAGCTCTTTAGCAGATAAGTACATTCTGGATGGTGTATGAGACACTGGGAAGTAGTTTCTGTCAGGTGCTGTTCCTTGGCTGATCTCCGCTACAATAATATAATGGATTCTCCCTCTCTAACTGAGGCCATTGTCACAGTTGGTGGAGAAAGAGAGAACGTAATGTAAAAAAAAAACAGACCAGATAAGCACCAATTTGGTACAACAATGGAATTGGGGGTCTTGCAGCAACAGAGATGCATACGAATATCAACCTAGAAACGTAGGGTGTACAGATGTTACTGACGTTTCCCAAATGGCCTTCAAGCGATCTGCATTACAGACCCGATGCTGACAACTACAAAATCTAATTGCACAAATAGGAAAAGAGTGGATTTGTGGAATTGAAGATTCCCATAACAGCACAATGGCCTTTTTTCCTGTGTGCAATTGGATTTAATTGGAGTTGACACTTGCCCTCATTTGAATGCGGAATGCGGTGTAATAGTGCCGGCAAGAGAGTGATTGGAATTCCGTCCTTGGGAAAAAAAAATAGCCAAACATTATCCTGTATTGGTTGCCACTTGCCCCGGTACATAATGAGCCTAACCTTTAATTCAGAAATCTCACGAGTAACCATAGTAATGGGTTTGCTATGAAGGTGTATAGTGGAGATGAAACGGAATGTGTTTAAAAACAGCCTTCAGCATTTCACAGAGCCCCATTCACAATCATAGGAATGAAGGGTACACTTACTGAGCTGTCCATTTGCAAAATGCCTATTCACATTCGCATACTGTATTGGAACAATATTAAACCACACAAAATTACTTTTCAAGCAATGATTAAGCGCATTACACATCAGTCAGACAATCTATTTATTGCCTCCTGGAATGTATAAAAAAAACGGTTCAAATTCTGAGAATGAATTGCACCTCAGTGAATTCATCATCTGGCATCACCGGCCACTAAAACCTCATTTATCAAGACTCTTTAAGATTATCCCTTTATATTTCTCAATATTTTCTGAAGAAGAAGGCCAGTCTGTAAAAAAAGGCCATCAAGATATTCCTTTGCTCTCAGATACATGAAAAAAACACATGTTGTTATTTATTAATTAACTTTTCATATTTTTTCTTTAAACTTATCTGATATTGAATCGATAGAAAGCTGTAAAAAAGAAAGATAAAAACAGGAGGTTCCCCTTCTTACTGCCGAGCGTGCACCATCACCACGCTCTCAAATCAATTCGAACTTTTCGTGTCCTGCGAGCAACAAGCAATTTCAGCTAGCACGGAATTCAGAAAGCGTACTGCTGGTGTTCAAAGTGAATTGAGATTCGTGATTGTGAAAAAAAGAAGCCAGGTTTTTCTTTATCATATATATTCAGCAAAAGTAGCCTAGTCTTTATGAACCTACCTAGCGAATTTGAATACGTAATGTTACGCAAGTTTGCGGCACGCATCCTACCGGACATCTGTTAAAAAAGAGTTTCGTAGTTCATTGGATTTCTCCAGGAAAAATAAAGATTCTGATTCTGATAATTGTTATAATTTGAATGTTATTTTGAAATTGGATTACAGGACACGATGAAATGCCTATATGTTAGAAAGTAATTGAAAGCTTGTTAGGATAAAAACCATAGGCAGATTGACTTCTATATTTGCGTGGGTTGGGGGGGGGCGTAGGGGTTCGCTTTGTTCCTCACATTAGGAATCGCGTGTGCATATAATGAATTAATTTGTTTTTAATGTTAATACGAAACTACTGAAAATAAATTAATTAAGTGTCCAGTTTGGGGGGGGGCAGAGCTCCCCCGTGATAACCCCCCCTCCCCCCCGCAACTCCGCCCATAATCAAAATGACAAAATAAAGAGATAAATGGTGTCAGGATGGACTACTTTTGGAAAACTTAATTTAAATATGAAAAGCAAGATACCAACGTGCCTGAAGAATGAGTTATTGTTTGTTTGTTGAATCGTCGAAGGCTACGTTACTGTCGCCGATTCAGAAACGTGGACACGAACAAAGAGCAAACGGAGCGAAACCTCGAAACGTGCGCAAAGAAGCATGAAGAGACGCCCGCTTGGAAGAATGACACTGAGAGAGGGAACGAGGGGATACGTGGGTCACGGAACAAATACAGATCGGAGGCATCACAAGGACGTGATTGCGATTGGGCAGGATGCATGGCGAGAAGGAACCATGGCTGATTTTGACCAAACTGGTGAAGCCATTTTTTTATTTCACCAAACTAGGCGCTAAATATAAACGCGTGGTTTTTTTTTATCCAAAAACGACTAAACACTTTTTGACGCGTAAAAAAATATATATATACAGAAACTATATTTCGCGTGCTAAATTGAGAAAGTATCAGGGGAAAAAATGCAAGTTATGTCTTAAAAGGAGCGGGACTCATTTTGGCCACAGATTGATGCGCCAAAGTGTCTTTAATGATTTCTTTTACAAGAACAATAACCCCACATAATAAACATAAACGTGTGAATTTATATCACATCTTAAGACTAGAAGCAACTTTCGATGCTGTACATGAACAGCTATTTACATCAAATAACGTGGAGAAAACATCAAATAACAGAGACTATTGCCGAAGAGACTACATGTAACAGGACCCTTTAGTACACGTGAGTAACCAACGTTATAAAACCCATCAACTTGTTGTGGCTTCAGAGTTTAATTGCCCCCCCCCCCCCCCCAAATCACAGCTGAAGCCGCTATGTGGATTTTCGCACGAAATATTGACAAAAACCAACCTTAAACTGGGGTTTTATGGGGAATTTGCATTCGCTCATGAGTCTAGGACTTCGAACATTCTAGCAACAATTGTGATTGTTCCTCCTAGGCTGTCGGAAACACTCTCGTGTATACACCTCTAGTGGATCACACCTGTTCAGCTGCCTCATTAGACCGGTGTTTGCACACCACACTCTGTGATGAGCCGATACTTTGAACTGCAATAATGTGTTTAATATGTAGGCCAGGCTAGCAACCTGAGCCATACGAGGCACAGTTGAAACTGGATATAAGCAGGACCCTTGGGAGTCTCTCTGCTCTAAAGTGGCATTGCCTGAAATTTCGCCTATTATATATTTCTATTAGGGCAGTGTTACAGACAGCTGTTGAGTTTGTGTTATTTGTGCATGCGGAGTAAGACCGGCCGTACTTATATCTGAACTAGTGTGCTTGTATCCGAATTTTTTCTTCGCCTTTCTCACCATGCGTGGCTTATATCAGAACCGTGCTGATGTAAAATGTATTTATATCCAGATTCCACTTAACCATATCACAGGTTAATTGAAATAATATATTTTTTCTTCTTCTTTGTCACTTATTGGAAAGGAAGATCTCAATGTGTTGGTCGACTAGCTTTTTGGTTAATATTGAAGTCTTTCAGAGAGTCTTAAATATTCCTAAATACACTGGAGGGAGTCGATGGAGTCGGATGATGGATTCACCGATCATATTTGGCCCGCAGTTGCTTTACCCTTCCGAGTGATTATATTGTTAATCTCTCACCCCTCTGTTCTGGCACAACGAGACCGACTGCACGGGAGGCTTAGTGGGATAAGTAATACATGAGGATGATCGTGATGATGGGTGCAATGAGTTGGCAGCGTTTGAAGATTTATGAACGCACACCAAGAGTAGGGCTGCCACCCGCCCTGGTTTCCCAGAATCACCCTCGTTGTCAGTTAGATGTCGCGGGAAATGTATATGTTTGCCTAGTGGCATTAACAGTCTCAGTTATTGTCAGTTGCATAATACTAAACCACTCAAGACATTGCATTTACATGTAGTTCTGTTATCTTCCGGCACTGAGAAAGATTATTCTTCCTATTGATATCTCCTCTTTTTGTACGTCAGAGTTGGCAACCCTAAGCATCAGTTTATATTGCGTGGATTTTCTTGCTGAAGCGCCATGACTTTCGCAAGTGTATGGCATTCAGGAGGGGTGTACCAAATTGGCCTGTCAGACTGCCCAGCCTTGTTCCTGCACTGCCTGGCAAAGAGATTTTCCCCAATTGTCCATCTGGCAGTTCACCAGCATTGGTTCAAGAAAGCCTGACTCCCATTGTCAAAACCGGCCCAGAATTTGCTCGTGTAGAACCAATGTTGTTTTAAAAACATAAAATAAAAATCCCTCCCAGAAGGCAATGTGTCTGATAGTACGTGTAGAATAAATACTTTTATATTTGCTTTTTGCATGGAGGGACAGATATGGGAAGGGTGTATATTGTCTAGTATGTACGTTTAACTTCTTTCGCACCGTACGTAGCCAACTGTGCGAATCGGTCTACTTATTCACTTGGTTCATTGTCGGTGGAGATCAATCCGGGCTGCATTGAAGGCAGACAAGGCCATCTCGCTGCACTGGTAACACGGAGCGGCAGGGTTCCTGTACCCTGCAAGTCAGCAACCTCGACACATCGAGGTGTCGCAGATCAAACGTTGCTTCTTAAGAGTATTGCGGTATTGGGAGTGAAGGCAGTGTTGTTGGGGGGGGGTCATGGGATTAATTAAATTGCTGCACTTAATAAGAGGGCGTGGGACCCGGAGTATTTCACCTGCATTGAGCTCCATAATGAAATTATCCACTCAAACAGGGGCTCGGTAGAACAGGTGGTTAAGTGGATACGTGATTACAATAGGAGAGGGCAGGAGGTAGTGGGCATGTTATGATGTGTTGAGTTATGAAAATCCATTCTTCCACTAATGATAATGCTTCGCTTGTGCCCATAAGAATAATTGTTTAAATAAGGTTATTTTTTGGGGGGGAGGGAGGGGTTAACAATAGGTAATGTACTCGATATTTTAAGGTGTCTGTAACTGGTTGAGGATTAAAATGTGAGTCACAAGCATGAGGGATGCTCTAACATGTGGTATAAGATGTGTAACTACACTATTCTATCACGTAATTGTCACTTGTATTACTTTAAATACCGGCCTTTGTCATCATCATCAACAACAATCATGAGCAATCCACTGCTGAATGGAGGCCACCCAAAGAGGAAACCATAACACACGATTTAGATTCATAATCTAGTGGAGGAATCCGAGGCAGATCCCTAAAGCAGACCATTCATATGCCACACTTGAAGAAATGACAACGCATGTTAACACATTATCTTTTTGCATAACACTCGCGAAAAATTACTTGCTTTTTACCATAATTACGATATAGATGTGCTAGAAACTACAAATCAAGTAGAAAAAAAACAAGAGCTTTAATTTCTGGAGGAGAGGTTTGACTGAATGTTCATCTATGTGAATTCTGCCCAAATATGGCCATAATTTAGTTTTCTTGATTAAATGTGTTTATATAAAGTATATATTGATGGAAAATGACTTGGACACAAATGGGTAAAAAATATATATAATGAAATGAGAAAAATGTACGATGTGCAAGTTGCCACAAATATGTAAAAATGTTACGGAATACATGAAAATACTATGAATAAATTAAATCACCTTGACGTGTACCCGTATATCATATATCCGGCTATCTTAATATTGATATCAGCAGATTGATACAACACACAAAAAGGAAAATCCCTTCACTTTCGTAATTTATTCCTTGACATCATGAAATGGAAATTGCTGATATCATGAATTCCTGATTAAGTGCCAATTCAACTTGTCAGAGAGACGGCCCAGCTGTCCTTTTTTTATTGCGTTAGGATAAAAGGTAGCAGCAGCTAACACTCATGACAGCTCATTAGGGGAACTCAAAGACATCAGAATGCGCTGCGCCAGACACATCCACTAAATTACCGCTGAGCCGTCTGTTTTCAAGAGACTGAAGCAAGTGACAGATGCATGTGCATACTTACACTTATTTTTGTAGGCTCTTGACTGAAGCCACCCTGTCAATGTGAACAGAGATTCGTGTCATTTTTTTGAACGAACAGATAATGCAACAAGTAATGACTGTTCGGGTAATGCGTTTACACCGTCGTCGCCGCCGTTCCATGCAATAGCACTCAAGATTCATTGAAATTACATTGCTAGTCGATGTATATCGTTGCATTAATGTTTAACCGGTGCGGTGGTTTTCACGTTTTCAGCGACGGACACTGCAGCGCTTCGTGTTGCGCGTTCCAAAACGACCGATTAAAAAAAAGAAAACCCACACAAAGCAAAAGTAATCTCAAGACTATGCAAATTGGTTTCGTATGAAAACACAAGGCAATCCCAAGAGAGATAAGTATATGGATGTGTCCATATATTAAACACCAGTTCACCTTGAGGGGTGGAAGGTGTTGAGTGTGGGTTTTTTGAACAGGACATTTATCTGGGCTTAAAGGAATGCATTTGCTTTCATGCAACCAGCTAAAGAGGTACATTTACACAATCCACCTGGGCTCCATAACATTGTTTCTATTAGCCCATTTGTTAAGAATTTGCCTTCGGCTCACACTGGACATTCAATTAAAACAAGTTCCTTTTAACATATATTTAAAACGGCACCAATTAAAAACCCACAAGGCGAATGAATAACAACCGTCTCATACATTACTGCTTAATAACAAACGCTAACTTGTAGCACGTCTTTGAAAGAACTGGGAGAGATGTGTACAAGATGTAATGCTATTTTTGTACAATATAATCAGCCATTTAAAGCATGAGCATGCACTATCAAATTCTAACAACTGGTATTACAGAAGCGTCTGAGCAAATAGTGGTTGAGCACTACCAAGGATTATCATAAAACTGGGTTTGTAATTACACTAATTATGGATGTAGCATGTGTGTGTGTGTGTGCAATGAAAAGTTGCAGCTTCAGCAAATGACTGTATTGCTGAATTTAAAACAAACCTTACATCTTGTAAGTATGAATTGTCCTGCGCATATGCAACAATGCAGATCGTATATGTATTGTGTATATATGGCTTCCATCTCAAAGGACGAATTGCTTCTGTTAGTACGTCTATTAGCTCTGTGGTACTCATGAGTATGCATTGCGCCTATGATATATGAATTACAGTGAGGGAAAAAGTATTTGATCCCCTGCTGATTTTGTACGTTTGCGCACTGACAAAGAAATGATCAGTCTATCATTTTAATGGTAGGTTTATTTTAACAGTGATAGACAGAATAACAACAAAAAAATCCAGAAAAACGCATGTCAAAAATGTTATAAATTGATTTGCATTTTAATGAGGGAAATAAGTATTTGACCCCTCTGCAAAACATGACTTAGTACTTGGTGGCAAAACCCTTGTTGGCAATCACAGAGGTCAGACGTTTCTTGTAGTTGGCCACCAGGTTTGCACACATCTCAGGAGGGATTTTGTCCCACTCCTCTTTGCAGATTTTCTCCAAGTCGTTAAGGTTTCGAGGTTGACGTTTGGCAACTCGAACCTTCAGCTCCCTCCACAGATTTTTTTTATGGGATTAAGGTCTGGAGACTGGCTAGGCCACTCCAGGACCTTAATGTTCTTCTTCTTGAGCCACTTTGTGTTGCCTTGGCCGTGTGTTTTGGGTCATTGTCATGCTGGAATACCCATCCACGACCCATTTTCAATGCCCTGGCTGAGGGAAGGAGGTATATGGCCCAGTCCATCGTCCCTTTGATTCGGTGAAGTTGTCCTGTCCCCTTAGCAGAAAAACACCCCCAAAGCATAATGTTTCCACCTCCATGTTTGACGGTGGGGATGGTGTTCTTGGGGTCATAGGCAGCATTCCTCCTTCTCCAAACACGGCGAGTTGAGTTGATGCCAAAGAGCTCCATTTTGGTCCCATCTGACCACAACACTTTCACCCAGTTGTCCTCTGAATCATTCAGATGTTCATTGGCAAACTTCAGACGGGCATGTACAGTGAGGGAAAAAAAGTATTTGATCCCCTGCTGATTTTGTACGTTTGCCCATTGACAAAGAAATGATCAGTCTATAATTTTAATGGTAGGTTTATTTGAAGAGTGAGAGACAGAATAACAACAAAAAAATCCAGAAAAACGCATGTCAAAAATGTAATGAATTGATTTGCATTTTAATGAGGGAAATAAGTATTTGAACCCCTCTCAATCATAAAGATTTCTGGCTCCCAGGTGTCTTTTATACAGGTAAGGAGCTGAGATTAGGAGCACACTCTTAAACGGAGTGCTCCTAATCTCAGCTGTATAAAAGACACCTGTCCACAGAAGCAATCAATCAATCAGATTCCAAACTCTCCACCGTGGCCAAGACCAAAGATCTCTCCAAGGATGTCAGGGACAAGATTGTAGACCTACACAAGGCTGTAATGGGCTACACGACCATTGCCAAGCAGATTGGTGAGAAGGTGACAACAGTTGGTGCGATTTATTCGCAAATGGAAGAAACACAAAAGAACTGTCAATCTCCCTCGGCCTGGAGCTCCATGCAAGATCTCACCTCGTGGAGTTTCAATGATCATGAGAACGGTGAGGAATCAGCCCAGAACTACACGGGAGGATCTTGTCAATGATCTCAAGGCAGCTGGGACCATAGTCACCAAGAAAACAATTGGTAACACACTACGCCGTGAAGGACTGAAATCCTGCAGCGCCCGCAAGGTCCCCCTGCTCAAGAAAGCACATTTACATGCCCGTCTGAAAGTGTTGTGGTTAGATGAGACCAAAATGTAGCTCTTTGGCAACAACTCAACTCGCCGTGTTTGGAGGAGGCGGAATGCTGCCTATGACCCCAAGAACACCATCCCCACCGTCAAACATGGAGGTGGAAACATTATTCTTTGGGGGTGTTTTTCTGCTAAGGGGACAGGACAACTTCACCGAATCAAAGGGACGATGGACGGGGCCATGTACCGTCAAATCGTGGGTGAGAACCTCCTTCCCTCAGCCAGGGCATTGAAAATGGGTCGTGGATGGGTATTCCAGCATGACAATGACCCAAAACACCCGGCCAATGCAACAAAGGAGTGGCTCAAGAAGAAGCACATTAAGGTCCTGGAGTGGCCTAGCCAGTCTCCAGACCTTAATCCCATAGAAAATCTGTGGAGGGAGCTGAAGGTTCGAGCTGCCAAACGTCAGCCTCGAAACCTTAATGACTTGGAGATGATCTGCAAAGAGGAGTGGGACAAAATCCCTCCTGAGATGTGTACAAACCTGGTGGCCAACTACAAGAAATGTCTGACCTCTTTGATTGCCAACAAGGGTTTTGCCACCAAGTACTAAGTCATGTTTTGCAGAGGGGTCAAATACTTACTTCCCTCATTAAAATGCAAATCAATTTATTACATTTTTGACATGCGTTTATCTGGATTTTGTTGTTGTTATTCTGTCTCTCACTGTTCAAATAAACCTACCATTAAAATGATAGACTGATCATTTCTTTGTCAGTGGGCAAGCGTACAAAATCAGCAGGGGATCAAATACTTTTTTCCCTCACTGTCGGTATGTATTGTTAGACAGTTTTATAATACATTTCTATCCATATTAGCAAGTCAAATCAAACTATACTGTCCCTTTAGTATATGTGTGCATGGTATGGGTTGCCAGTATTACTGTATGTAATAGGTACTCGCTCACTACACTTGCCCCAGTAATCTGTATGGTTGGGGTGGTACGATTCAGGATTTAATATGATTTCATAATCAATTCTTTTTTACATTATGGTGAATTTATCGGCCTCAAGTGGCTGGAAGGGGACACGTCATAAAACACATGGATTGAAAAACCCTTGATGATTACACTTCAATAAACATCGTTATTAAGTAATCGATTAATAGTTACCGCCATATCTGCTAAGTCCTGTCTTACCAACTCTGCCCACGATCCTTCGCCACTTTACACGCGGCCTCTTGGTGCTCCTAGCCTGGCACAAGCGCCGTTGTGCCGTCACCACACTTAGTGGTGAATGTGGACTGCTGTTTGCGTGCGCACATGTGTCCATTGAACTATTTGGGGAATGGTGGCACCGCACTTAGCGCACTGCACTCCGAGCCATTGTTCCAGTGCACGACCACGGCTAAGATCAGTGGCGATTATACGAACCAGTCCTGGGGCTGTCCTAGGTCTACTCAGCCTTAAATGAGAAGCACCTGATGCGATGTCTCTAAGCATCGATAGTGGCACTTGGCACATCTGTCCACACCAGGTGCTCGCTAAAAACCAAGCACTTGCCCTTACAGTACCACGCGGCTGAACCTTTGTTTTGCACAGCCACTTAAGCAGCCAACGAGATAGCTGCGGACGAGAGCTGTGGGCTAGACACAGTGGGAAGAGGCACGGCCATCACGCTTGCAGACGAGACCCAACTGAGGCGCGTGCCTATGTGTGAGAGGTCTACCTTAGCTGACGTGTGCGTTAAGTGACACGGGCACACGCACAGAGGCGCCTTATTCTCTGCAATGACCCACCGCCTGCTACCTGCCGCCCGTCTCGCTCGTCGGGGGTGCGTACGGGGATAAGGTTTTTTGTTGTTGTTTTCAAGCAGAGGGAACTACAAAAGAATACGCAATATTCTGGCGTCGCAATAAAACAACACAATATTAAAAACCTCTGCGACCGCCATAGCCCAGAGGCGTGTTATCTTGAGGTCATAACCCGCGCAAGCGAGAACTCGGAGGCCATCAGTGACTGAGACAATGACCACGGTAACAAAAACATAAACAGTACCAGCACGTACGAAATGAATACATTTCAAACCAAACAGCTTGTGTGTGTTTGTCTGCATCGTCCTTGTGTCTGTGAACGAAAAACAAACGCGTTTAACAAGCCAGGATGTGTACATAGCACTTATGCCCAATATTGTGGGTGGTCCTGCTAATCACGTCTGGTAACCCCTGAAGCAGTTGTTTAACAAGATTGACATTGATGATGCGACCCATAAGATATAAAATGCTTGAGAGTTCACTTGCGTAAACAAACTCTGCTTGATAATGTTGGTTCTGTGAATCCATGAGGTCGATGCACCGAAACATGTTCGTTTTTGACATTATATTATTGCTTATGGCAATATGTTATAGGAACTGAATTCCAATGTCGTGGTCTTGATAGCCGTAAGAGGGCTTCATGATATAGTTTGTGTAGTTTTGCCGCTCCTCCATTTAGGGACTGCAGTACTGTACAGTTATTCATAATAAAGGTTTTTGGGTTAGATTGCGTTTATTTATAAATGTGTCGTAACCCTCCACCACCCGACACGGCCAATCAGCAAAAAAAAGTGTCACGTTGACAAAAGACAAATAATTCACTACTTTAGCCCACCGGTGTGTTGAAGAGTGAATCCACATTTACAGTTTGAGTACAAACTGTTTGAGTACAAACTGTAAATGTGGATTCACTCTTCAACACACCGGTGGGCTAAAGTAGTGAATTATTTGTCTTTTGTCAACGTGACACTTTTTTTTTGCTGATTGGCCGTGTCGGGTGGTGGAGGGTTACGACACATTTATAAATAAACGTGATCTAACCCAAAAACCTTTATTATGAATAAAATTGGTCGCGAAAGCCTACGTGTTAAACTGACTGTACAGTTAGTTTACTACATGGTCCATAGTTTCAGTTGTACGGCCCCAATAAGTTTTACATGTCACGCGCTGATGCTGGCTGTTGTGTGTCATCTCTGCCCACGGTGGTGGTTATACCAGCTATCCTTCACTTTGTGTCATCTCGTATTGTAAAGATATGCAGCAGCTACGTTAGAATCGATTGTATTTACATCAAAATGTATACTGAAATCCCAATGATAATGAGTATTATGATCAGGGCTTATAACCGGTAACCATTTTCACAATCTATTACCGTTTAATGGATGGCACGCGCTGCGCCACGTGCAGTAACGCGTCAGAGTGGTCCTAAGCGACATTCCCCCGTTGGTTGAACTGCCTCTCGGGGACATTCATTCGAACCAGGGGCCATCGGATCGCAGGTCAATGGTTGTTGTAAAAAGCCACAGCACCACGGAACCTCCTGTTGGTTGTATCAGCTAAATGCAACAGGCGCAAGTTTGTGACACCTTTATTAAGGCGTACATTTATTTTAAGTAGTTTTACAATTAAGATTACAAGTATTTTTTTTTTAAATGAATTATAAGCGCCCGCGATCCATATCGGGTAGGGGACAAAGCGACCAACCCCTTCCCCACTCCCCCAAACACAGAAGTCACACTCCGCCTCTGGCTAAATGATCATGTTTTTTGCTCGACATTTCTATATGCGCGCCAAACCGGAAACCGCTTTCTTTCAATTTTTCATTCGGTAACAGCCGTGCACATTTAGTTTTTTTTTTAACAACCCGCACCATTATCGCTGTACGAACATCCCTCTTAGTATTCACCGAGCGCGCTGTATTATACATTGCCATCTGCATCAGCAACTCATCGTAAGTGAATACACTTTTAGTCGACTCAATACACATTTGAAACTCATTACTTGTATTTCCAAGTTATGCAAAATACTTTAACACGGCAATCCATCTTAATTTGATTGGTTTCTGTGGTAACTTTGATCCAAAGCCAAAGCCAGCCATCGTGGCCAATTCGTATGGTGTAAGCACGAAGCAGAACGGGGTTAAGCACCGAGTAAGGATGTCACAGGCACGGACATGCGTGGACGCGGGCGTCGATATAAACCTACGGGCAAGATATGCCGACATCATTGTCTGATCATTTATGCAAATGATCTACAGGGGTGGTGCAGATGTCTTGTGACCGCCCCCCCCCCCACCCATAATTAATTGACCCCTAAATTTGTTTCCTTTGCATATTCATTTCTGTTTTAAATAAACCTTACTTAAAAAAAAGACATATATTCCGTTTTAGAGAATTCAATGGGGGAATCACAAGACATCTGGACCACCCTGTACACACATGAGCGCGTCTGGATGTCTTGCGCGCGCGTGCACACGCGGCTCTTTGAAGACCACCACACACCGATAGGGTCGGTATTGATGGTTCACCTTGAACGCAGTCTGCAGTGTGCACAGGTCACGAGTTAACGCGTAAGGGGGGGGGGGGGCGGGGTTCTACTCACACATCTTCCTCGGAATATTTTATTCGCCCAAAATAAATTCGCTTTTTATTTGATTTGCAGGTCGGGTGATGGTCATTACGACTGAGCTACCTTAGAAGGGCACCGGAGGTGTGGGATGGGGGGAGTTACGACAACTTCATAAGAGGGACCCCCACCCCCTCTTATTCACCACACCAATCACGGCCATCAACCGTCCACGTGGAAACACTTTTCGCTCAATTGCCGCTGGCAGCGTTTCAGATACTGACCAGGCTACTTCTGAAGCCGTCCACTGGCTCGCCGACATCGATGTGCACACACAAACGGGGATTCATCTTTCACTCGACATTTTTAAGAACGCTGCTAGCTAGCTGGGTTTGAATGCATATTATATTATTGGCGTAACGCACTGCCACTAGAGTACAGTGCACCTTTATTCATAATACTCCTATTTGACCCGACATGCCGAAAATACTATGCACGAGACGTCGCGTGTAATACTGCTGGTACGTGTATAAAAACCTGTTGACAGAATCAGTTTTTATTCGAATCAGAATCTTTATAAATGCTGGAGGAATCCAATGAGCTATAAAGCCATTTTTCACAAATTTCCAGTAGACCTCCTCCCTCTGATGTTAACAGGGTGGATGTGGCATGCAGAACTAATTCCTGGAACAGCACTGGGGACTGTTGCGTCTGAAATGAACCCCCTGCATGTCAAACGGTGCCAGATCCAACTTCCCACCGCCAATTCTAGATTTGAAGCTTTCGTGACTGCAAGGATCCATACTCTTTGGTTCTATTTGGTAAAGTCACGTAGGTAAAAATAAAATAACAAAAATCACGGCGTTTCGGCCACAACACAAGTGGCCTTCATCAGGTGAAGGGACCGGACTGTCCAGAGGACAGCGTTGGAGTGAAGACAGCCAAGCCCAGGTCGCGTCCTTTAAGCTGTGTGGGAGGAGATGAAGACAAACTTCCGTCTGTGCATGCGTCGCCCGCTCACCTGGAGCTCGTGAACGGCCTCCTCCTCCTCCTCCTCCTGCTGCTGCTGCGTGGACTCCGACACCGGCACGGAGCCCAGGAACCACCACTGGATCTCGAGGGGGGCGAAGGCAGGCGCGCCTCCTCCCCGGTAAGAGCAAGTCAGGTCCACGTCTTGGCCCTCCCTGGCGCGCATGTCTCCCGGGATCTGCACGAACCTGCCTGGTGCACAAGCGTCCCATCAGCTGTTCTCAGCCACTGCGTGTCTCGTTTGTGGCTGTGTGTGTGTGTGAGAGTGACCCAGTGAGGAGCGGTGCACTGCGCTATGGATCTGGCAGGCCCGAGTTCGATTTACGCTCACGGCCAACACCGGTGACGATGATCTGAACCGATCCTGGGACTCTCCTAGGTCGACTTGGCCTCAAACGCGGTGTATAAACATCATCACTAGGGAGACAAAGGCGGTCCGGCGTGGTGCTGGCCACCCACCCCCTCGTGTGTCGTGCCGCCCTTCAAAGGTGCTCGCTAAGAGCACTTGCCCCAACAGTCTGTCAAGGCTGTAGGGGTAATCTTTGTGATTGAGTGACAGTGCCATATTTTGCACAGCACGAGTTGCTGCTTCTCTCTGCAGTCAACGAGGAAGTTCAACAAGTTCGAATAAAAAAGCACGATATTAAACCCCTACAACTTAAATACACTGCTAGGATGTGGGTTTTTATGTCAGTTGTCCGTGATCAATCCGGGTTCTCAAGTGTAATGAATTTATACCCCAGTCATCAAAAATACCGATTGTTTACATTGTCTTAACCCAGCTCTGAAGATCTATATTTTAAAAAAAGCTGATTGACTGCCATGCGACACGCATCTGCCATCCGACACGCAGTAGGGTGTGTGATGTAGCAGCGAGTTCAGAACTAGTTCTGTGAGATCTTCCGTGGGCCGTTCCCGATAACCGCGTAATGCACTACAGTAATGTGTCAAAGTTAGAAATGAACACTTCGTCTTTCATGTGAAAAATAACAACAAATAGAAGGCCCATCATCAGTCTATGGGTCTTCTCGAGCGGAGTGCTTTGCAACTGGTGTGATGACGCGGTATTTTCTGAATTGTGGGCGAGCAGGGAACTCTGCTCGCAAAGCTACGATTGACGGAACTCTCCATGCCGTTCAGTGGCCGATACAGCCCCCCCCCATCCACCTCCCTGAGTGTGGCCTTTTACAGGAAATGTCGCTCTGTTGGTTGGTGCTTTATTAACGAAGCGTTCTGATGTATGAATGCTGGTCAACATGGAATATTAAAAAAAATCACTGCCTTGAGAGATTATTATGTAACGACATATAGGGACTATGAAAGCGATTTGGTGTCCGAAATTAAACTGGTGACCTAGGGTAGTATCCTCACGAGTTCTTCTTACATGAGTGTTCGTCACTCATTTTCACAGTGGGGGGGGGGGAACTTTCGCCGATAAGACATCATCAGTGTTAGGGCCGCAACACCATTTGAAACCATTGGGGTTTGTCAGCACGGCGTGGGGTGTATTCACATTTGTGTATAGCCTGGGGCCGCACTAAAGGCTTTGCAATGAAGACCACCGTCTTAAACGGGAGGGGGGGGGGATGTGAGAGGCAACCACCGTGGGAGAGAGCGACACCTTGAAAGTGCTACAGGAGTCTCTCTTGTTCCGCGCCCCCTGGCGGTGGCAGCTAACATTGTCGCTGTTGATTTTACGCGCTATCCATCAAGCAAGTTCATATGCATCCGAACAGAACAGTGTCAAGAAATACCGTGCTATAAATTACTCTTTCCTTCTACGACTTCTTCCCGTGATTTTACTAGTTTTACTCATTGTGCTATACGTGACAAACAGCTATGGGTTGCAGATACTTTAAGTGGAAACCAACCCCACCACGATATTGAAAATCTCCCTCGATGTTGCACACCTGACCACGTGTATTCTGGCGAATAGTGATGAAGAATTCCATATACAGTAACACTGATCATGCAATATAATCGTCCCGGAAAACCTGACTAAGTCGCTTGACCCACGTTAAAGAGGGCCTTGCATGGGAATGTTTGGCCACTGAATTTAAACGAGTGTGTTTGGTACGTGTGAGGAAACCCCAGTGTCCAAATAAAACCAAGCACGTCGCGTATTAGTGGGTAACAAGGACAAAGACCCCCCGTCTAGCCTCAACAGACTGTTGGGGCAAGTGCTGTTATCGAGCACCTATGAAGGCCGGTACGGTACACGAGGTAGTGGGTGGCCAACACCACGCCGTCTTTGTCTCCCCAGCGGCGATGTTTACACATCGCACTAGCTACTCATTTGAGGCTGAGTCGACCTAGGAGAGGCCCCGCACCGGTTCTGATAATTGTCACCGGTGTTGGGCTTGAGCGGGAATCGAACTTGGGTCGCCGGGTTCGTAGAGCATGCCACCGCTCATGCGCACACGCGCACACACAAAGACTCCGCACAGATGAATGCAATAATCAACTTGCTGCACTGCCACCTTCCAGCCACCTCGCAGCGCACCGACTGGCTAACCCCTAAGCGGCGGTCACAACAGGCGTACACGGCCACCAAAGACAACGCTCCCCCGCACAGACTTTAACAAACTGTTGGGGCAAGTGCTGTTAGCGAGCACCTATGAAAGCCGGCACGGCACACGAGGGCGTGAGCGGCCACTAACCACCACCACCACCACCACATACATTGATTGCGTCTTCACGACTCCCCGGGGCCACTCCGCTCCCCCGTCCCAATCAACAGATATGTCCATCGTCCCCCCCCTCCTCCTTATTTACACGTGAATGGGAACAGCGCTGGAATCATAGACTGCGGGATCTGTTCTTGCGTTCACGATCTCAATGGCAATATATCGAGGTCTGCTAGCCACGACGAGAGAGACAGAGAAGAGAGAGAGAGCGTGTGCGGTCTTGCCAGTCCTCCGTTGAACAAAGCAGACAGCAGTGGGTTTACGAGACCAGGGGTTGGCAACCTGGCGCATGCGGCTCTTTAACGACTGCTTCGTGACATTTATCACAATTGCATTGCGGCCCTTTGAAATATTGCGGTATTTTTTTTGTTTGTTACAGAAATTAGAACAAACCTCCCCCCCCCCCCCCCAAAAAAAAGTCTCTTCTCGTTATTTTTGTTGCAAGTCCCCTGCACTAGACGGTCCACAGGGCTGGGTTGCGTGGCCACGATCACGCTACCGTGCGGACATTGCCTTTGACATGGACCGCACGCTCGCGGCCACGACGAGGAAATTCGGAAGAAACTTGACTTAAAGCTTTCGTGACTGCAGGAATTCATATTCTTGGGTCTTTCGGTGAAGTTGCGTAGATAGGTTCAATGTAAAACAAAAAAACTACGACGTTTCGATCGCGACACAAGCAATCATCATCAGGATAAAGACAAATAGCGGAAAGCTCCTGATGACGATTGCTCGTGTTGCGATCGAAACGTCGTAGTTTTTTGTTAATTTTTTTTTTAGTTTTCTCTGAACCTATCTACGTGACTTTACCGACAGACCCGAGAATGTGAATACGGAAGAGTTGGAGTTTGCAAGCGTGCGCTGAATGTGCCCGTCGTGGAAGCAAGGGGCTCTGGCGATGAAAAACGCGACTCCCCGCTGCGTTTGGCTGGCGTGGAATCGCGTGCCCCGCAATTGCGCACGCAGCAACCAAACACCGTTAGAGAACGAACTTTTACACGCGGATCAAACCGCGGCGCGTTGACGGCTCCTGATTGCTCCGAGATACGTTCAGCAGCCGCTGCTGTCGCTTTGAGTGCAACGTGAGCGCAGGTAACCCCCCCCCCCACCCCCCCACCCCCCCCGGCACTCTTGTGTGCCCTTTCATCCAGATGCTGTTCTCCTCTCGTTATGGGTAAATAAACAGCTTCAGAGGCTGCACAGGCTGCAAGCGACGTACCACTACGACGAGCGCTTGGGAATTCTGCGCCAAATGCACAAGAACCGCACGCATTATCCCTCTATGGACGTTCAGAGAGGCGCATTCGTATTACTTCTATTGTATGTCCACAAACACTCCGTGTATGTGGATGTTATGCAAGTGATAATTTAATTAAATTAGTTTAAACATATACATTTTACGAATGACATTTTTTTCTTTCTAAAGAGACTCCCACCGCCGTATCTCTCCTATAGGGATGCATTCCAAGATTGATAGCCTTTTCGCATCGATTGGTTTAAGAATCCGAGAAAATTCACCCCCTTATCGCGTAAACACATCGTAATATAAACGTCGTTTGCCGGATCTTCGTCAAGATTGCCACAACTGGTGCGCACACAAGTAATTCCCCTCACTTCCGATTGGCACGGTTGGCCGCGTACGGCGCGAAAGAAGTTCAACATGCATACACACAAGTCGCAACGGGCTACGTGTCAGAAGAGAGACTGACGGAATCCTAGCGCGTGGAGTTGCGGGGGGGTTTGGGGTAAAGTTGCGGCGACGTTTACGGACGTTGCGCGCTGATTGCGCAACATCGTCACCGACGAAGCGCGCACGTAACAGAGCGGACGAGCAACAGCGAACTTACCCTTTGCCACGGCCAGGATCGCTGCTGCTGCTACCACCACAGTGACGCTCGCAGAGCATCCCGTTCCGAGCATATTTGTGCAGAGAGAGGGTGGGGGGGGGGGTCTCTCTCTCTCCTCCGTCGAGTCGCGTCTGACTCTCCTCGAACTCGACCACGTTCAAGCGAGAAGAGTGCGCATGACCACCACGATCTAGACGAGGTCTTGGCTCGTCCGCCCGCAGCGCCGAGCCACGCAGTCTCGTGCCACCACCACCACCATCATCATCTCGGAGTGCGTCATTGCAAGCAGCTTGCGCCGGTGAGGAATACGAACACGTGGCGCCGAAGATGTTCGATTTGATCCCTGGTTTCTTCCAGAGGTTCGGAACACCGCTTGACCGTGTGTCTGTGTGTGTTGAGTAGAGTTCTATTTTTAAATGTGAACTCAACAGCACAGCGGCGCAACGATAACCAGCATGTGTCTGCTTGTGACGATAGAGCAATTGATTAGGGCTGGAGGAAGCTCACTAAATTAAGGACCAGCGCAGCAACGCGAACATAATACTGGGGATGCATTACGCGCCGAGAATTCTTATTCTGGGTTTATTATTATTCTATTTATAGGATCAGCACAAGGGCTGTGTTATTTCTTGCTCGGCAGGATAACACACGGATAAAGAAAGAGCCCTCCCGGCACGGCCTTTAACGCATGACCGGCGGCACGTACACACAGCCACCAGTGAATACGGTGGTGGTGGTAGCGGCAACTCTGAATCGTCCGCGTCTCTCTCTCTCCCTTCCCTCTCCTCGCTCTCTTCTTACACCGCTCTCTCTCTCTCTCGCTCTCTCTCTCTCGCTCTTCGTTCGCTCTTGCTGGCTGGAGCTCCCCCTCCTCACCAACCCCCCTCCTCCCCTACCCCCCCCTAAGGCGAGCCGCCCCGCTCATACATAATCAAGGAGTTTGCACTGGTGGATGCAGCTTGGTGAGCACAAAAAGTCGTGGGCGACGCCAGAAGATAAGCCCTGCAGAGAGCGGTATCATCCGTCACGCAGCCACCGCTAATCAAGAAGAGCTCGGGGCGGAATGAATCTACTGAGCCATCGAGCCGGCTCAGATCCTGCTGCTGTAGCTGCCCCCACCCCCTTCTCATCTCCCCCCCCCCTCTCTCTTTCACTCCGTTTTATCATCTCTGCACCTCCCTCTGCTTTACCTTGCCGCCCAGTTGCCCTGGCCTCCTCACATTGCCTAGCGTATTTGCAAGAAACCCATTACATCTATCAAGCAGGGGGCTTTCGTGGTCAGCTGTAGATTCATGAGGATCTTTGGCTTTGGAATAGTTTAAATGGAGCTCTACGATGCGCGATCTTTACCTTCATCCCGTTCGTCGGGCCTTTATTTATTAACATAGCAGCAAGGAGTTGGATGTTTTTGTTGTTGAAATTTAAGATGACATTTAATTAATGACATTTTATAAACGAGTCGACGGTGCTTCTGCCAGCCATCTCAGGCCATCGCAACACCAGGGTCTGCCACACTGCAGACACAACTGTGGATGGTGGCGTTTAAACCTGCCGCGCTGTGGTGTGCAACGAGGGGGATATCCGTTGCACCCTGGGGGCCAATGCAGCAACATTTATTGTTGTACTGCACTTTATATGCTGTACAGTGCTACCAAGTCACTGGCATCGCGCGCTTTCGGATGCACTTCTGCGGCCGTCCGAAACGCTCTTCCTTCCGATATTAGCAAGCCTCTGGAGTTATGCACTTTAAAATAATCTAGATTGGCAACTCATTTCTTGACAACTTATTTTTCTGTTTAGCTTGTTTGTCATTCCCCTGCACCTCCGATGAGCACGGTTGGCTACGTACGGCGTGCGAAAGAAGTTCAACGTACACGCACACAAGTCTCTGCCTTCCCCCACCTTCGCCGACCTCGCACTGATGAGCGTGGGGCTAAATGAAGCAGGGTCAAATGAACCAAATGGCCCACCCAGGGTGAGGAGGCCCTCGTCCAGCTGTGGATTGGCGAACGGGGATGTACCTCTCCACGTGCGGCAACAGCGCGCACACACGTTCCCTGTGTGCTGCTATGTTAGTGCCACTTTGTGGGAAGTTAACGGTGGCTATCAGTGAAGTTTGGTTATTGGCTCGTGCTGTGCTGGTCCGTGTCATTGGAACGCTGAATTTCTCACCACTGGCTCAAGACGACCACCACCACCGACCACCAGACATCCATCGCTCGTTTGAGTGTGGTGTAACAAAAACAATGTACATCCTCTGTAAATTCACTGCTAGATGAAGGCCTCGCCACACCACATCAATCACGGTGATTGATTGACCATACTTCACCAAGATAGTGAGATGTTGGTAGGTAAATGTGGCATTGTCCTTTTCAAATATCACTCACTGCTGATGCTAGTCATGATTGATAATCGAATTATGTTTGAAGGGACATTGCATCAACATAATAATGTATGTGTGCATTTTACATATATATACGTACTCACGAGGAGCAATGCTTTGTGGACTGCACTTAGAACCTGACAATAACCTGTGATTTCTGCCGCCGGATAACATCAGTGAAGTTTGATAACTGAACAAGTGCTGGGCATCGCCTCGTTTGACTCGTCGTTCAATGAGAACCTGATGCGTAAATATCAGCACTGGGGAAACCACACCATCACCGCATGCACAGTGCCTGGACTCGATAGGTGGTCACTAACAGCACTTGATCCGATAGTCTTTGAATTGTCGAAAGGGTTGTATGTGTTCTAGCTCTTTAACGTGTGTGCCTTGTACGCAAACTCTTACATCTCAATTCATGGCCAGGTGACTTTGAGGAAAGTGTCTGTGAGTGCACATGGCTTAACAGCTCGCGGTGGAGAGATGTTAACTGCCTCGCCTGGTGTGCAGGATGTCGTGGGTTCGATCCCGACCCTGACGCCGACATACTTTGAGTGTGCACGTTCTCCCCGTGGTTGAGTGCATTTTTTTCCTGCTCCTCCGGTTTTTTCCTCCACATTTATAAATATGCCTCCAGGTCATTTGGCTGCTATAAATTTGCACGTAATAAGCCACTTCGTTGAGCTATCATTCGTGGCCAGGTCGCGTCTAGAAAAAGATATATACCTCAGTGGACCGTACCTGGTAATATAAAATATATATAAAAAGTTAACATGTTGGCTGCAACACTCGCTCTCCAAATGCGAGAACTTGGGCACTTTGGAAATGCTGTGCCGCAAGCTTGTGACATAAACGCGTTAAGCTTGCACTTGTGAGCCTGAAAGGAAACATTGTGTCGTTACAGCCATTCATTTGAGAAAACCAAAAAAGTACTTCTTCACAACTGAAGCCACCACCTCCCCTGCCTGGGACACAAGCACCAGGCGAGCATCGACGGCTAATGTGCAAAGCTGAACTCAATTTTCGCCTTGCCCCAAAAAGGGGTAGTTATATTCAGTGGCTCAATAGGCAGAGCAGGCATTGCCATTATGAGGCCGAGTTAAAATTCTGGCCAGTGTTGACTCGGTCCCATTGTAACAATTCACATTCGTTCAATAAACTGCATAGCGTCGGGGATGAGGCTGCTCGGCTCCGTGGGAAGCCAACAGCGGTTGTCCTGTGGTTGAGCTGCTTCCTGCGATTTAGGGATGTGGAATTTAATTGCACTTTTTCTGAAGCAACAATGGAAATGAGCACTGCTCAAACTCTCATTAGAAGAATGGAACACTGACTTTGTGTGTGTGTCCCCCCCCCCCCCCCACCACCACCATAACATTGTACAGACACGGCACTCTCCACTTTGGGGATCTAATCCCTTTTGTTAATGTCGAGTTCAGAGCTCCCAACCGCAGATGTGCTTGCATGCCATAACATTTGCAGTCATTGGATAGCGTCCCAATACCACTAACAAGATGAATTACTTATCGGGATATCATCATGCCTACATCCGTGTATTATCCAGGCACACAATATATTAATCTCTACGGGGTTAATAGAAGACCTTATCTACGCCGTAACGAGATCAATATAGCTCAAGAAGCAACTCCTGCCTATTATCAAGGGTGGACCAAAGACATATTTTGGGGTACGCATTAGCCTCTGAAGCTGTGTGCGATAAGGCGTGATACTACGTCATGTTAAGAAATTGCACCGTTAAGCTTGGTAGGGGAATGCTCCATTCATATCGGTGTGCATTTATTGTTCAGCGCACGTTTTATTAGATTCTAATACAAAACCAAAGGGTCTATTGAAATACACGCAGACAACAAACCATGTTTAGTCTATAATAAGCTTAAATAGTAAAATTTAATTTTACGCTAAATTCATTTACAATACGTGTCGAGGCAGCAGAAATAAGATGTTGATGGACAGGTCATAAACATTATCGTTGGTATAAAAATTAGGGGTATTATTTTTTATGCATCGACATAAATGTTTATGGTGCTGCTCATAATAAGACAGGAATTTTGATGAATAACAAGCAACAAGATTGCTAATTAGCTGTTTGTAAAGCATGATGTTGATGGTGCTTACGCAACGTGACTTAATATCTCCCTGTTGTGTGATGCACTCATCTGGCCAGTTATTTACACACATGCACACACACAAATTAACACTGCCATCCCCCAACTTAGTGGCGGTGTTGTCACCACGGCTCTAGTGCCAGGCTAGGTGCGCTTTAAAGACACGTGACATATCGAGAGGCATCGTGACGGGAATGTCGCGGGACTGACCCGCGCTCGAGTGTGCAGTCGGTGCAACTGCCGGGACTCACGGATCAGACGGGGGGGGGGGGGGGGGGGGGGTGGCAGGGCCCAGGTTCTGAGCTATGAAGAGGGGGCAGAGGTGGGGGCAGGTGTTGGTAGATGCCCCGGGGACCCTGGCAGTGCCAGCTTTCCAGCTTCGAGGCAGAGGTAACGTCGGCATTTGCGTCCGGCAGTGGGTTGTTGGGACTCTGGAGGAGTGGCAATGTCCGGTTCTGCTTTTGGGTAGCTTTCATTGGCGAGCGTGTGCCCATGGGCTGCTCGAGGGGCAGCAAGAGTTTACCCATTGGTCTTCTTATTTGTTGTGAGCTTGCTGCTTCTGCCTCCCAGTTGCCGCTGCACATTTATTCACACACACACGCACACGTCTATCTTTAGCTGCCCAGCAGTGGTCTCTCAACGAGCTTCCTCCACCGAGGCCAATCCTGACCGCCGATATTAGTCCTCAGCAGTCCAGTCCGCTCCATGTCACCTTGTACCACATCTGCTGTTCAATTCTCCCAGCATGTCCCGTACCCATTCAGTAGCCCCCTTTATGTCGCCAATGAAGTACGCTTAGTGTGTGGTAGCTTGTTGTGCAGCCAACACTGAGGAGGGAGACGCCTCAGTGGTTAAAAGTCAGAACGACCAAGGCAGCCTATCCAAACCTGCAGGACCTAATCTACCATCTAAACCAGGGGTGGGGAATCTTTTTTCTGCCAAGGGCCATTTGGATATTTATAACATCATTCGCGGGCCATACAAAATTATCAACTTAAAAATTAGCCTGTTATATTTTGTCAAACATTTCATTAACTCACCCCTAATGTGATGGCTGGAAATGCTTCTCTTTGGCGAGGCGTGGTGATGATGTTAGCTGGTATTGATGATGTTGCTACTCGCAACTGCTTTTCCAGGTTTGCTCCTAGATTTATTGAATTTCGAGTCCCGCCTGCGGTTGCCTTGGCAGGGCCAGAGACCCAAATGATTTTGCGGGCCTTATTCGGCCCGCGGGGCCGGACGTTCCCCACCCCTAATCTAAACGGTTGTAAATGTCTAATGCAATGCAGCCTTAAAAGATTCGCCACCT